TAGTTATGGATTTAACTTTGTTCATTGTATTGGGGATTTGTTGTGCCTTTTTTTTTTTTTTTTTTTTTTTTTTTTGAGACGCAGTCTCTCTCTGTCACCCAGGCTGGAGTGTAGTGGCGTGATCTCAGCTCACTGCAGTTTCTGCCTCCCCAGTTCAAGTGATTCTTCTGCCTCAGCTTCCCAAGTAGCTGAGACGACAGGTGCATGCCACCATGCCTGACTAATTTTTTGTATTTTTAGTAGAGATGGAGTTTCACCATGTTAGCCAGGATGGTCTCGATCTCCTGATCTTGTGATCTGCCCGCCTCAGCCTCCCAAAGTGCTGGGATTACAGGTGTGAGCCACTGCAGCCAGCCTGTTGTGCATCTTAAATATAATCACTGTGTCTTTCATAAGCTAGGGTTGCCAGATTTAGCAAATAAAAATGCAGGATGCCCAGTTGAATTTGAATTTCAGGTAAACAATAAATGAATTTGTTTTTGTTATGAGTAGGTTTCATTGAGTATGTGGGACATATTTACACCAAAAAGTCATTTGTAGTTTATGTGAAAATTCAGATTTAACTGGGTGTCCTATATTTTATCTGGGAACACTATCAAGTTCAGGGAAATTCACAGCTATTATCTTTATCAATCTTACCTTTCCTCCACCTCCAATTATAGCTGCATGACACCACCTCATTCTAGCCTCTTTCCATCTTCACATATTATATTTTCTTGTGATCATCTGGGTAAATTATTTATCTATTTCCTCAGTGTTCTCTTCAGCTGAATATTATGTGCTATTTAATACATCATTTTGGCTTTAATTTTGAAGATTATATTCATTTCGTTTGTTCTTTTTCAAATCCACCTAGAATTTTTTCTCGTTTTCATTTTCAATTTCCTACTTTAATTTTTAAAATATTCTACAAACATTTGCCTTGTCATCTGTTTCTGGTAGCAGGATGCTTGCCATCTCGGAGCTCTGCGTGGCGCTGGCTGCAGTTGGCTTGTCTCTGCTGGTACTTCCTCATGGTGTTGCGTTCCCTCACCTATTTTATATTTGTGCTAGTGGCTTGTGTTGGTGGCAATCATATGGGGCCCAGTCTGGGAGATACTATCCAGAAAACTTTGTGTTTGTTTCTGCCAGGTGTTCCAGGGCACGACCAGCCTGGGATCACTTCATGTTAGCTTCTTAGTTTAAGGTGTCCCAGGTACAGGTAGCAGAATTGCAATTGCTAAGGGTAAATGAGGGTCACCCGGTAGTGACACATTCTTTGGAAAGAGCTCAGAGATAGACAGCCACACTCCTTGGTGCTCTCTATCTGCTGGCAGGGAGATATTTTCTAGTTCCCTCTTTCCTTGGGGCTCTAACCTTCAGAGAGTGTCCTCTTTAAGCATGGACGCAGTTCCAATTCCCAGACAAAGCCCTTCATCCTATCCCAGCAGAGCGACTAAGGGCCAAACCTCCTGGAGACTGCAGAGGACAACAGGGCAGCCGCAGGTCAGGTTCGGGTCTGCATTCCAGCACCCTCTGGGATTTGTGGCTCCTTCCACGAACTTGCATGTTCATTTCCCAGGGTTTTTGTGATTTACTTGAGCATTCCTCAGTATTTGTAGTGGATGTGTGGGTGGGATGTCTGATCTGCCCGTTGCCATGGCAGAATCAAGGCCTCTGTGGGGCATCTGCTCCTCCGTGACACAACGGACCTCCAGATGGGCCCCTGAAGCTGCTGAGACTTAGGCTGTCCTACGAGTTCCTGGCTCCCAACCCTTTTTCTTTTTGTCCTAATATTTCAGCCAGCACAGCTGTGTGTCTTGTTAGAATGTTCGCCTTCACAGGCTGTCATTTAGGTTCTCACTGGGCATGTAGCAGCAAATTGGGCACTAGAGCAATTGTTCTCTTGAGTGACCTCCAGCAAACATTTGACAAAAGAAAAATTACACTTGCTAGTTTGTGAAGGTCATGCTGAGCGATTAATATTAACGCCAGTCTTTTGAAAAAGAAAAGTATTTACAGGTCTGTATTTTATTTTTGTTTAAAAGGCCTAAAACTTTGACTCTCAGCTGGTCCACGTAGAAGGTCTCAGTTCATTTTCCAGCAGGAATTCTAAGTTCTGTTACTATTCTTGGATATATTTGTCATACATTCAACAGTTCTGCCTATGGCTGACATTTCCAGAACAGAGTGAAGCAGAAGTGCCATTGTTTCCACTCCTTCCATTTTATAGGTGCAATTGTGTGTGACGTGCATGGTTCTTATACATTCATACAAATCAGCCAAGAATCGTGCATTGATATGTACCAGGCAGTGAGTGAATTCATTTGCTCTCAGCTGTTGACCCAAAGAAGAGCCCCCAGTTTCTCCAGGGTGTTCCATTAATACACAACAGGAAAACAATCTTTTACAATTTTGTGCTAAAAATCATTTTAAGGGGTAGAATATTTCCTCAGTTGTCAGGTTCTTCACTGTATTTATTTTTCTTAAATATATTTTGTGGGCTGGGCATGGTGCTCACACTAATTATCCTGGTGCTTTGGGAGGCCACAGTGGGAGGGTCTCTTGAGGCCAGGAGTTAGAGACCACCTGGGAAACATAACAAGACCCTGGTCCTGCAAAAAAATAAAAAATTAGCTGGGCATCGTGGCATGCTCTTGTAGTCCCAGCTACTTGGGAGGCTGAGGCAGGAGGATCACTTGAGCTCTGAGTCTGAGGCTGCAGTGAGCCATGATCACACCACTGCATGCCAGGCTAAGTGACAGAGTGAGGCCTTGACTCTAAATACACATACGCAGAGAGAGAGACAGACACACACACGTGTGTGTGTGTGTGTGTGTGTGTGTGTGTGTGTGTGTGCTGCCCCTTATCTGTCAGAAACTGCTAACAGTTGACAATACAAATAAAAAAAGAAGCAAATGGATAGTAAAAGAACAAATGGAGGCCGTGTGTGGTGGCTCACGCTTGTAATCCCAGAACTTTGGGAAGCAGAGGCGGGCAAATAACTTGAGGTCAGGAGTTCCAGACCAGCTTGCCCATATGGTGAAACCCTGTCTCTACTAAAAATACAAAAATCAGCCGGGTGTGGTGGCACATGCCTGTAACCCAAGCTACTCGGGAGGCCAAGGCAGGAGAACTGCTTGAACCTCAGAGGTGGAGGCTGCAGTGAGCTGAGATCACACCACTGCACTCCAGTCTGGGCGACAGAGGGAGACTCCATCTCAATGAAAAACAGAACAAATGGAAACTCATCAATTAAGTTTAATTTGGCAGCTTTTCTTTTTTCACAAACACATCAAGCAGCTGTGCGTGTACCCCACACGCATGCACTGTAATCACGTTCCTGTTCCTGTAATGAAATAGGCACAGTGCAGCAGTATTTTCAGCAGGCTCCACAGCGAGTTCCTCTGCGTCAAGGGTTCTGTCTCCAGTGCAAGGTGAAAGTCACTGCTAATCATCCCTGGAGGATGCCGTAGAGGGTGAATTATGGCCCTTTCCTACGATTTATTATCCAGCTGAAAACTGCAAATCAATATGAAAATGTAAAGTTGAATGTTTACCATAGTGAGTCAAAAGCATTCAGAAGCAGAGGGCACTGACTGTGGGGTTAATAATGGACCTTTGACCTCAAACACAGGGACTCAGGGAGTCAGACAGCATATGGGAGGGAAAGGAAAATTTCAGCCAGAGATCACTTAGCAAAGTTGGGAGAATCTAAATTTTGTGTTTTAATGAGACCAAGATCATTCTGCCTACAGCAAGACGTTCAAGTGTAAATAAAAAATGACAGAGCAGGTACAAAACTGCATGTAGAATATCGGTTCTTTATGGAGTGTGCCTTATCCTGTTCAGGCTGCCATAGCAAAATGCCACAGACTGGCTGGCTTGCCAACAACGGTGTTGGGGGCTGGAAGTCCATAATGAAGGTGCTGGCAGCTGTACTGTCTGGTGAGGAGTGCTGCCTGGTTCACAGGTGGCATCGTCTCATTGCAGCCTCACATGGTGGAAGGGGTGAGACAGCTCTCTGGGGTCCCGTTAGTAACGGCGCTAATCCCATTCATGGGGCTCCACCCTCATGACCACATCACTGCTCAAAGGTCTCATCTCCCAACACCATTGCTTTGGGGATTAGGTTTCAACACAGGAATTTGGGGAGGGCACAGCATTCAGCCCGTAGTAGAGCAGATCGGCACCAAATATATTTAAGCAGCTAAGTGACACACAAGTGTCCTGGTTTACAAATACAAATCTACTGAATTTGCAAAGATAGGTGTGTATGTTGTTTACATCCTGGTTGAAACAGCAAAACACAGTAAATGCGCTCTCAGATGTCCACACAGTTTTTCTTCTTGAGTATTTTCATATAGTATTGAAGTTCTTAAACTTTTATTATAAGTAGGGTTGCCAGATTTAACAAATATATTGATTCAAGTCCCTCACTGAATTTGAAATATCAGATACACAGCAAGTAATTTTTGATATAAAAGTATGTTCCATGCAGTATTTGAAATATACTTACGTTAAAAATTATTCATCATTTGGCCAGGTGTAGTGGCTCATGCCTGTAATCCCAGCACCCTGGGAGGCTAAGACAGGCAGATCATCTGAGGTCAGAAGTTTGAGAGTATCTGGCCAACATGGCGAAACCCTGTCTCTCCTAAAAATACAAAAATTAGTCGGGCGTGGTGACGCATGCCTGTAATCCCAGCTACTTGGGAGGCTGAGGCAGGAGAATCGCTTGAACTGGGGAAGTGGAGGTTGCAGTGAGCCAAGATTGTGCCATTGCACTCCAGCCTGGGCAACAGAGTGAGACTCTGTCTCAAAAAAATAATAATAATAAAAATAAATTATTTATGGTTCATAATTTATCTAAAATTCAATTATACCTGGCAACCCTAGTTATAAAGCCAGATGATTAGAAAATACTCTACAAATCTCATGAATATTTTATAGATTATTTGGATAGAACATGTTTCTAAACAGATTCAATGTAACATACACTTAAAAACTGCATTCTGCAGAAAAATTCTACCCCGATGGCTCCAAAGAAATTGTGTTTCCCGACGGGACAGTGAAACATCTCAAGGATGGACAGGAAGAGACCTTATTTCCCGATGGGACAATCGTAAGGGTGGAAAGGTCAGTAATGTCAGACAATGCGAACCCGAAACATCCCCAGTTTTTGTGTATTTAATAATTTCCTTATATTAATTTAGATTTTTGCAAACATTTAAGTGCTTGTATTAAAAAAAATAATAATAATGTCATTGACTCCAGAAGTTTTGTCTTATGGCCTTGATTTGAATCCCTTTATAGAGACTGTGAGTTTCAAATGGACTTTCAGGTATTTACCTTACTGACATTAGCTGTGTTTGAATTATAACCGTAAAAATACACTCCAGTCTTCAGTGCTCACCTCAGACCACGTGGTCTAGAAGCCGAAGTCCATTGCAGAACACGTGCAAGCTAATGTTTAAGGCACAACAAGGAAGAGCTCATCAGAGCTGCTATTTCAATGCTAGTTTGTGCAGAAAGTAAAGATCCACCCAGCTGCCCAAGGGAGAGCGTGGGATGTTGTTTTAGACCTTCCCTTTCTTTCCTGATATCCAAGTGACCACTGAGTGAGCACTGTGGGCTGTGCCTCCTTGCTGCCCCCCCTCCAAGCTTTCTCTGAGTTCTGCAGTCTCCCACTCTCACCATTTCTCTCCTGGGCAATTACAATAGACTCCCCCAGCTTCCTCACAGCAGTCAGAATCTTCCCTGTCACCTCCGGGGCCACTTTTCTGAAATGATTCTATGTGTGTCCCTGTCACTCCCTGTGTTAACCCTACCGTCCCTCTCACCGTCAGAGCCAGCTGTCAGCACAGGCTTCAGCCTGCAGGTGAGCAGACACGGCTGACCTCCGCCCTGCCTCCTGGTCCTCCACACTTGCCCTCTCTCACCCACACCAAGTTTCTGCTGATGCCCTGAGCCCACCATGCACCTTTCCTGCCACTGCCCGTGGCCTTCTGCACCCTCATCTAACGAGCTTTGGAAGAAGGGCCCCAGGTGGGGCCATTATTCTGTACTCCCCCACCCCCTACTGGCCTCCACACTAGCAGCATTGGCCCTGGCGCACACTGCCCTTCCACATGTTTCTCTTCTCAGGAATGGCGACAAAACCATTGTGCTCAGCAACGGGCAGAAAGAAATCCACACGGCCCAGTTCAGGAGGAGGGAGTACCCAGATGGCACCATCAAGACTGTGTATTGCAGCGGCTGTCAGGAAACCAAGTACATCTCCGGGAGGGTTAAGGTCAAAGATGAAGCTGGAAACATCATCCTGGATGAGAAGCAGATGAGCCCTCAACACGCAGCATCACCTGGGAAATGCCAATTGCAGTTTTTTGCTAAAACAGACAAAAACTAATAATGTATTAGCTGTCCCAAATGATCTTGGAGAGCCACTAAACCTTTAGGACTACCCAAGTTATCTAGAAATTGCAAAGAAAAGGACATTCTCTTCTCTATTTAGGAAATACGGTTAGAGCAGCACCCATCAGATAACAGAAGGCTCACAAAAGAAAGATTTCCATGCCCCCAGCAACACTGCACCCTCTTTGATCATCACAGGGGCCATTTCTGCCTTGTGATGGACCAAGGAGGTCTCTGCAGAGCAAGTACCCTTGGACCAGCTGATTCACAAAGTGCTGAGCCCCTCTCCTCTTTATGGCCCACCCCAAGCACGGCTCATATCTCCAGCATTACAGAAGCTCAGCCTGGACAGTTCACCTCTGCTCACCGACACCCCTGTCCTCACTGGGACAAGAGGGAGACAATTCTAGTCACTACAAGGATACTCAAGTGGCGTCCAAGTCAGGTCAGGGCTCCAATAGTGCAGTTATCATGGCCTGTCACAGCCTGGGGAGCATGTTGCCTCCTGAAACTTGAGATTTTTAAAATCCCGATATAAAATGATAACCAGTTACTTACTTCTTTTGTTGTTTTGCAGGCCACCTAGAAATACAAAAGCAGACTGGCATTCATTTAATTTTTATACTGAAATGTGGATGCCCCAAACATGATTTTGGAAAGAGATAATTTCTTGAAAATCTTATCAGAAGATGCATAGTTTTTTAATTTTTTCAAGTATGTACTCATGTTTTTATGGACTACAATACCATATTTTAGTGCCAGGGATTATTTTAACCTTAATACTGTGCACGCATCATCGTAGTCCTCAATATTTGGTAATGCTATTTATAGTAACTCAAGAACCATGTGCTATCTGACTTTGAAGGAAAAAAAGGAAGTCTACTATGATTGCAGTGGATGGAGGCCTTTTGTTTTCAGATGAATGCTACAGCAATGCGAGGCATTTGTCAGGCATAACCGGCAAAACAAATCCATTATTAAAAAGCTATTTTGGGTTTGGCTGAAAGAATGGACTTGCCTGTTGCTTTGATTGTTTTAAATCAGCTTATACTAAAAATTGTCACTGAAGCAAACAAAATGATACACGGCTGTACTGAAAAAATGCACTTCTCATTATCTGTGGGAGATCAGGGAAGAATCAAACATGCAATTTTATCAGGAAGCCATGCGCAGGCATCAGATCACCTGCCTGACTGGAAGTTTTCATTAAATATCATCTGCAGTACACTCTCCAGTAGTGACGGGTGCAAAATCTGTCATCCAAATAAGATTAATTCAGTGTGCACATGGAATTAATACATTCCATGTGTGGGAAGCCCTTCATGGAATATACATTCTGCAATATTGGAAATCAGTACAAGCTTATTAAAACAACATTTCATACTGATTTGCAAAAAGTCAGAATTTACTTTTAGTTCTTAACAATCTCCCGAAGGCTTCTTATTAGATGTACAATCTGATTATATTTATTACATTAATTTTGAGGAGGGGTCTCTATTAACCTATTTGCAGGCACATTTATGCACAAATTGTAAACAAGCACATTTACTTGTTCAAAAAGTTAGCATTAAGACCATCACAAAACAATGACAGAGTATAAAGGGCTGGGAGATGGGGTGAGTCACACCCATCTGGGCCACTGTCTACTGCCACCTTGGAAAAAATCTTCAGCTGTCCCCCACTTCCTTTTCCCTAAGTGGGTGACATTTCATCCCCTGCACGGCTCAGGGATGTTGTGGGGATGGATAAGAAGGGAGCAGGACAGAGGCGTCCCGTCCATTCCACCCAGGTGCTGCTCCTGAAGGGAGTCTTGGATGGAGCCCTCCTCTCTCTGCACGTGGAGTCCTGCGGGGCTCCATGTTTTCCTAAGGAGCACAGGTCCTCTCAGAGCATGGGCCCCAAGTTTCATCGCCATCAGGTGCAGCCTCTCCCGCCTCTTCTCTCCTGCTCCCCACAGCCCACATCATGCAGAAGGCCCTCCCTTAGGTTAACCCGACTTCTTCCGACTCATCGTTCCTTCCGCAAACATTCCTTGGCTCACCCTCCCCCACCCCCAGGCTAAGGCCCCCAAGTGCTCACTGAACCTTGCACTCATGTCCTCCTCACACTGTATCCCAATGACCTGCAGACCTGCCTGTCCCCACCTAGACAACACATTGAGGATGGAGCTCAGTCACCTTCACCTTCGCTCTCCAGCAGCTAGAGTGGAGAGTGCAGCCTCGGAGGCTCTGGAGTAAACGAAGAGGTGAGAATGTGGAGAGTGGCCTCGTGAACTCTGATTATTGGTGCTAAAGTGAAAGGGATTTCAACATAGAGGCTGACTCCCAAAACTGACGACTCTGTCTGATGCTCAGTTTATCAAATTCACCTTTGAAACTACCTTTTCTTGAGCACTTAAAGATTGATTCTAATTAAGTTTTCTTAATACTGCAATTATAGGTTTAGAATGGTTGATATTTTTGAACAAATACTTTATACAAGAGACGGAACCAAACAATTCAGATTATCACCGACTTCTTACAGACCTCCAATTTGAACCTACTCTACAGTATTAACCATTTTCTCATTATTCTATATTTTTTACATTTTCCTACAATTATTACTATAATTGTACAATTATTACTATAATTATTACTATAATTACTATATTGTATTTTACTTGTTTCCCTGCTTTAAAAAGCAAAACAGAAATCCTGTGGTTCGTCTTGCTATGGTGTGAGTGTGACAGCGGGAACTGTGTTACTCACTGGTTATTCCTCCTCCAGCATTTTAAACTCAAGGGCACTGGACATCATACTCAACCTTTATGGTTAAACCTGACATGCTACATTAGCATTCTTGTGTTTCTAATGAACGCCGTTCACAGAAGTTTTAGTTTTTTGCAACCTGGGATCAGGCCACATCATGACTGTCATTGCCTTTGTGGGAGCTTTTTTCCATTAAAAAATTTAAACATGTAAGTTTTGTTACTGCATTTGTATGAAGGTAGATATATCAATCGTGTATATTAAAACATTTTCTTACACCTAAGAGTTCATTTGTTTCCTTCTGATTTTTAAGAGAAATTAAAACATTTTCATGGGCTCCTAAAAGTATCGTGGGCCCTCATGTGCCTGATGGAGATGCTGGCCCTGCCTGGCGTCCCACCTTGTATATTTGACTCTCCCTTGCCTGGTGTTCCGTCACGCGTGGTCCTGCCGTTCTGAGAGGTCAGCAGAGCTGGGGTTAGTGTTGGAAACTATGGCATTCTTCACCTTCCGAATGAGCAGTGGCTTCCCAGAGAAGACTCATCCTGGAAAGGCAGGGTGCCGCTGCCGGGCAGCTCTCTGGACTCACGCTCGGGGGTCCTCAGCTGTCTCTGCTGTCAGGTGGCACCAACAGGATCGACTGTTATTTTTTGCTCGTGGCTCAATGCTCACTTTTTCCTAGGCTACTTGGCTTTCTTGTGGCTTCCCAGGTTTCTTATCTGCAACTGCAGATAGACAAAGTTTATATCTATACTTTAGAAGCAGACAATGGAAGGAATAAAACCACATTCCTCATTTATTCAAGGCAATAATATTAAATGTGTCATTATATTCTTTTGTATCACAACCATCTTTGTATAAAACTTCTTTCTTCTAATATCATTTTCAATTTGTAATCAACTTACTTCAGTTAACCATATTTCATTATTTTTTATTATGAGTTGATTCTCAAATGACCACAACTTTCTGTCTTTGTATCACTTCCCCTGATATCTAGGGAAGTGTCCTTGCTTGCTGGGAACACAGAGCACCCGGCAGGCTGCATTAGTTTCTGGGGCTGCTGCCTCACCTTACAGGCAGACCTTGGGGATACTGTGGATTTGGTTCCAGGCCACCACAATAAAGCTCATATTGCAAAAGAACAAATCACACAAATATTTCGTTTTCCCAGTGCCTATAAAAGTTTGGTTTATGTTATACTGTAGTCTATTAAGAGTGCAATAGCATTATGTCTAAAACATGAACATATCTCAATTTTAAAATACTGTATTGTTTTTAAAAATGCTAATGATCATCTGAGCCCTCAGTGAGTTACAATTGTTTTGCTGGTGGAGGGCTTTGCCTGGATGTTGATGGCTGCTGACTGATCGGGGTGGAGGTTGCTGAAGGTTGGGGTGACTGTGGCAATATCTGAAATAAGACCACAATGAAGTTGACTGCATTGATTGAATCTTCCTCTCATGAAAGGTTTCTCTGTAGCATGCGATGCTGTTTGATAACATTTTACCCACAGTATGACTTCTTTCAAAATTGGAGTCAATCCCCTCAAACCCTACCCACTGCCTCATCAACTAAGTATATATATTCTAAATCCTTTGTTGTCCTATCAATAATGTTCACAGCATCTTCATTAGGAGTCAATTTTGTCTCAAGAAACCACTTTCTTTGCTCAACCATAAGAAGCCACTCCTAATCTGTTCAAATTTTATCCTGAGATTGCAGCAATTCAGCTACATTTTTAGGCCCCACTTCTAATTCTAATCCTCTTGTTATTCCTACCTCATCTGCAGTTACTTCCTGCACTGAAGGCTTGAACCCCTCAAAATCATCCATGAGGAATGAAATCAACTTCTTCTAAACTCCTGTTAATGTTGATATTGTTTCTCCTCCCATGAATCATGAATGTTTTTAATGGCATCTAGAATGGTAAATCCTTTCTAGATGGTTTATAATTAACTTTGCCCAGATCCATCAGAGGAATCACTATCAATGGCAGTTATAGCCTTATGAGATGTATTTCTTAAGTAACAAGACTTGAAAGTTGAAATTTCTCCTTGATCCATGGGCTGCAGAATGGATGTGGTGTTAGCAGGCATGAAAGCAACATTACTGTCCTTGCACATCTCCATCAGAGCCCTTGGGCGCGTTGCCAATGAACAGTAATATTTTGAAAATAGTCTTTTTTTCTGAGCAGTAGGTCTTGGTAATGGGCTCAAACTATTCAGTAAATCACTCTGTAAACAGATGTGCTGCCATCCTGGCTTTTTTATTCTACTTATAGAGCAAAGACAGAATAGATTTAGCATAATTCTTTTTTTTTTTTTTTTTTTTTGAGACAGAGTTCCACTCTTGTTGCCCAGGCTGGAGTGCAATGGCATGATCTTGGCTCATCGCAA